AAGGAACGTGTGTAGGCTCAGGAGAGCAAGCTACGGGAAACAAACTGATCACGCTGCACTGGGAGGGTTAATTATGTGCTGTTACAACAGAAATTTACTGTTTCCTGGGATTTTTCGAATTTAGTTTTAAAGAAGGATAAACCATATATACTCTATAAGGAATCCTCTGTAATTTTCAGAATAACTCAACTTTCTCCATTAACAACACAAACAAACTTCCCAGTACATTTATGTTCCTCACGTGCTGATGAGCGCTAAATGTCACATTGCTTTACTGAACGGCTAGTGAGGACAAACACTGTCAAAGGGAGAGTTCAGGAATGTGATCATGCACACAGGGGCTACCCTCCACATAGGAACATTATGTTGGTCGTTTCTTTGCTCTCCCTTGACAACTCCCTCATATTTCTAGAGTTAACTACAAAAGGAGAAAGAGTTGCCTCATTTCTCCCATAAAAATAATAGATCTAGCTTCTATGGTAGGGAATTCAGCCAGCATCATTGCTCTCAGAAGTAAGAGAGTACCCATAGTTTCTGCTCAGAGACCACGAGACAACAATAAAGAAGTAGATGATAATGACCATCTTGGGGCCTGTCTTTCCACCTCATGGTATCTAAGGACTAGACTTCAGTTTGTGAAACATTTGAAACTTGAGCTAGCTTTCAATGGTGAAACATAATTGTCTCCTCTGGAGATTCCATAGTAGTGCATGCCTGAAATCCCAGAACTCAGAGTAGGAGGGAAACTACCATAAAACTGAGCCGACCTGGTATGCTGAGTAACTTCTGGAATAACTAGGACTCCATGAGACCTTGTCTCAAAGGGATGTTTTCCTCATACCCTCCCTTTCTTCCTCTCTCCTCTCCCTCTCTCCCTCCTCTCTCTCTCTCTCTCTCTCTCTCTCTCTCTCTCTCTCTCTCCCTCTCCCTCTCTCTCTCTCTATGTGTTTTCTAATGACTTCATGTCATTGATGCGTAGAAAGATGATACAACAGTGCCTAAACCGGTTTCCCATACTTAATGTTATTTCATTTTAGTTCATGAGACTTGATTCACAGTCTTAAAAACTATTTGTATCTATACAACAAACTACTATTTCATTAAGAACTGGAACCAAGAAGGTCCTCTATTGGATGTTTACCCTCACTTAATGTCCTGGAGATAATTTAGTAGTAATAACTTCCATGCATATAGGACCACATGTGGCTATCATCCTGCATTAACTCACCGAATTACCATAGCAACTCTGTGAGAGCAGCAACCACCGCTTTAAAGAGAAGTAGATGTGAGCAGAAATGACATGGTACTTAATATTGATTACTGACTTGACAGGATTGATAATCACTTAGGAGAAGCCTCAGGGCCTAACTGTGAAGGATTATATTGATTAGGTTAGTTTTAGGTCATGTCTGTGAGGGATTGCATTGATTAGGTTAACTATGGTCGGAGAGTCACCATTCCCTGCTCTTGGGTCTTTGACCACATAGAAAGGGAAAGAAAAACCAGCTGAGTACAGTAATTTGTCATTCACTGATTCTTAACTACAGAAGCAATGTGATCAGCTACCTCACGTGTCTGCATGGTGTGTGTCAGAATAAACCTTTTCACCCTTAAGCTGCTTTTGACAGAATATTTTATTACAGGAGCAGGGAAAATAATTAAGACATAAAATTGGTGCCAGCAGTGGGGTCGTTATTGTGATAAACCTCACTGAGCATGAGGTCTCTAGGCCTCTACAACTATTCCGTGAATGAAATGTGGAAGAGCTTGACAGTTTGTGCTTCAAAACGCTTTGCCTGCTGCCACCCAAGCATAGCTGGTTATTCTGGTGGGGGCCTGGAAGACAAGGAATATGCATAGCAGAGGCCCCCCAGTTCATGAGTTTGGGGGAGAACAGGAACTCTACAGGAACTGAACTAGGAGGCAATTATGTGTTATATTTTGACCAAGAACCTGGCTTCATTCTGTCAATGTCCAGAGAAGATGAGTACAGTTGAATTTAAAGATGATGGACTAATCTGCTTGCTGGAGAACATTTCAAATCAGCAGAACATTTCAGTTTTGAGTATAGCTGATGAGTTTTTATGACTCTTATCCATTTCTGTAGTAAAAAAGAATAAATATTGAATAGATAGATATTAAAAATGTTCAGATTACTGAGGAAGAGAAGGGCTTAATGAAGTTAAAGTTTGCAGCCTAGGTGCACACTGAAAACAGGGTTGCAGTTTTTAAAGAAAAACACCCTGATCTTCACAGGGATAGTAGGACATGTGTCTCAAGAGCAACCTTCCTCCCACCAAATGCAGCTCAAGAGGGCCCCTGACCCAAGGAAGGGATTGCCTGGGCCAGGGTAACCCCATGATCAGCACAGAGACGTTTACATCTGCGGTCTGGTAAGGCCTGGCTACATCTCAAACTGATGGAATTGGCAGCAGCACCAAGATGATGCCGTCTTCAAAGATGTGAAATATGCAAGATCATGGGATCATAGTGAGCGAGTAAGGCAATGTGTGATGGCATGGGTCAGAATCCAAGCGAGGAGCTCATGGAGGCCATTAGGCAACGTTGTAAAGATGAAGTCTAAATTGCAATAGAGACTCCAGAAAGATGAAGACGACAGAACCAAGAGGTGTCTACGTAGGAAAGTTGCATGCACATAAGGGAATAAAGTCACAGGAGAGGCTACGTGTACTGCGGGTAATAGAGCTGTGATAGTGGGCTACCTAAGCTTTTGGCTGTCCCGATGATTCTATCACAGGTCCAAGATGCTAGAACTGAAGCTACAGGATTTAGTGCTTTTCCTACTGGATTTCAATCCTACCTTTGTCTCATTATTACTTGATTTGCCTCCATACTTCCCTTTCAGAAATGGGAATGTTCATTCATTGCTGTTGTAGGTAGGAAATATGTAATGACAGTAAAGATGTTTAAAGTTAAATTCAATGTGCTTCTACATTATATGACATGCCATGAGCCACAGAGGTGTAAAAGTTTGGCTTAAAGGTGTTGTGTTTGGATGTCAAGTGGGCAAAGGTAGAGTTGTGTTAATGTTGACTATTGACATGATCTAGAATCACCTAGGAGGCAAGCCTCTGGGCAGAAAGGCAAGTAATTATCTTAACTAGGTTAACTGAGGTCTGAAGATCCAGCCTAAAAGTGGGCAGTGTCATTCACTTGGCCTGAGTCCTGGGCTGCATGAAGTAGAAACACATGGCTGATCTTGAACATTCTTCGTTCTCTACCCCTTGATGGTGGAAACTATATAACTGGCTTCTCCAAACTACTGCTACCAAGGTTATACCCTTGAACTGCAAAGAAAATAAACCTTTTATTCATTAATTGATTTTTGTCACAGTGTTTTATCAAAAAAGGAAAAAAGGAAGGGAAAGAATATACATATATACATTTTCATGTCCTATATACAAATATACATACGTATACATATGACAGGAAGCTACAATTTCCCTAAGATCCCATTTAGGACTAGAAAAGAGGCATAGGCTCAGGCAGTCTGACTCTGGCAATTTTACTGTTAACATGTTAGATTTTATAATTCTAGTGAATTTTAAGACAATTTCACATATCCTCTATATACTCTTCTATGCAGCACTGTGACATGCCTCTGCTGATGCTCCAATGCTGTTGCCTGTGGTTTGCTGGAAGAACAATCCAGCTGGGCTTGTGACTGAACGCTATTCCCTGCTCTCCCGGGCAACCCTAGATCCACATTCCTAAGAGAAGAAGGGCTGAGCCTGTAAATCCCATCAAAGAGGGCTCTTCAGATGAACATGAATCCTCCATGCTTGGCACACAGTTGCTACAGAATGTAAGGAGAGCTGATCGGAGAAGAGCAAGGGAGGGAGAATGGGGGTAGGAGGAAGAAGAGCCCTCTCAGTTCATTTTACTCCGTTCTCTTGGATGTTATTCATCGCTTTAGGGACCGAGCATTTCCTTCTCCTTCACTTGCTGACTCTGTTTCTCACCAATTCCCACTGAGCTCGAAAGCCACCTCAACTACCCATTATTTCTTACTTCAATCACAGACAGCACTATGGTCTCTACATCTTGCACAGATCACAGGTTTCATGATGGTTGAGGCTGAAACTTACACCCTCATGTTCACCACACTGCTGAACCCACCTACCAGTGCCTGGAAATACAGGCTACTGAAAGTGATTCCAGCCATCCATGTGATCATGACTGGCAAGGGATCATTCTTTTCACACCCATCATCCTGAAGTCCTGGATCTAGCCAAACCACCACTGAATGCAGATTTGTCCCTAAAAACTTAAGTTATTTCCAAATTTCCCTCTCTGCTTCCTATGTCTTCTCTCATCCTTTCTCTACTTGTTTAAGCCTGTACCTTAAAAGAGGAAAACACAGACACAATCACAGCAATCACAGAACAGGTTCAGAGAAGAAAAACCATGGCCAGCAAAGGCAACCAAGCACAGGGCCAGCTAAGACAGACACAAGCTCTCTCAAGAGCATCCCCAGTGCTTTCCAAGTCTGGAAATGATAGCTTCTGAGATATTCCCACATAAGAAAAAGAATCTCACAGAGTTGAACCTCTTTAATTTGAACTAATTTTGAAAAAAAAATAAACTCACATGACAAATTATGTCTTCTCTGAACAGGACCTTTTTAGAGGTGCTTTTATTTGTTCCAAAAAGATACTGACCACACATACAGCCAAGATTAGTAGAGGGTTCATGTTGGTCACTCTTCTTAGAAAATACTGTTAATGTCTCTAAAACTATAATAATGATGATCTTACATAAAGATTATTACTAATTAACTCAGCTTTATTACTGAGGAGACAAGACACAAAGAAAAATCTAAGAATTTTCTATAAAACATGACAGGAAACCAAGTCAAAACAAGGTCTAAAGCTTCCTCCTGTAGAAATGACTTCCAACCAGTAAACCATGTTTGTTATCTAGGACACCACTTAAGAGATGTGTTCTCCATCCTGTTATCTAAAAGAGTTGAGGCCTTTTCTAAGTTAAGAGCCCAGTTTGTTCCTGGAAAGGAGCATGTGCTGAGAGAAAAGCAGCCTGGACTTGGAGAGCGCAGTTCCGTTTGGTGAGCATTAAATCACGGAGTCCCGAGTACTGTGTCGTCTTTGTTTCTAAAAGAAAGGCCAGATATGAATCATAAGCTAATGGCTCTGTAGTCAATGACAGGTGGGGTTACTCACAGGGCTACTCGAGAGAACATCTGTTCCTAAGGGGCGTCCTCATCAGAAAGAAACGAGATTAGACGGTATCTATTTTCAGTCACCTTGGCGTGGTGTTTAGATTGCAGTCCTAGAGTCAGGATTAACAATATGGGCAGGGAACTTGCTTTTGTGGAATCAGAGTGACAGGAAGATGCAATGTCCCCTTGATTACAGGCCTTATTCGTCATAGAGTTTTTATAGGCTGCAAGATAGAAGTGGCTTCATGGATTGAACCAGATCTTCCCTGCAAGAAAAATATCTTCATTACCTTTTCAGAGCTGAAACAAAATCAGACAAAAGAAAGCTGAAACCTGAGCAACTTCTAGAAAATAATCAGAAAACAGAACTCTACTTTTGGGAAAGTTAACAGCAACTCACAGGGTGAAAGAGAATGCAATCATTGACTTCTTGTCAATCAACTCCAGACTATATATGAAAGAGATAGGTGTCATGGGGGGGGCAGAGGACAATCACTTTCTCAAAACTGGCACATGGAGAAGAGGAAAGAATGGATAGCTTGATAGGTTATGTAGTCCAGGCTACCCCTTGAATCTGTTATGCGTCTCAGACTGGTTCTTCTCCCTAAATCCTCCTGCCTTCCATGCTATTCCTCAAAGAAATTAAAGACTCCAGTGAATTACAGTTAAAGATTGAGATGTACTGTTTTTAGGTAGTTATTCCTCTCAAATTTAAATTCTAGATAAAATGGATTTGAAATGTTATCATGAAGACTGTTTCTTTGCTATTTATCACATATTTACAGTACAAATCATTCATTTAAAATGATACTCTGTTAGGAAGTACCAATCATTCCAATTTTTATTTTCTTGGATAACAAGAGACAATCAAAGCTCCAAATCTCTGATTGGGTTGAAATTTCTCTAAGAACCAGACAGCTGGAAAATCTGAGCCCACTTTCTTATGTGAAAACTGCTTTCATTCTAATCTCTTGGATACTAGAAAGTCATGGAATTGACAGACACTGTCCTGACTGTAAACTGTCATTTTATTTAACTAAAATGCCTAGACCCAAGTCATATGATCAGAAAAATAAAGCAAGAGGGGAACAGGTTACACAAGTGCTCCAGATATGAGAACTCCACTCTATTGATAATATCCAGAAAATCAATGAAACATTGCCTTCCAAATACCTGGAAATCTGAGAGCAGAATAGATGGGGACAGGAAGGAATCTGACTCAAATCATGTGCAGAGAGGACACACAATATGGGCGAGGACAAAAGAAATCTGGAAGCCTGAAAAGTTCCAAATTCTACCGTAGGAGAAGGCAGAATCAGTGTGAGATGGAGGTTGGGTTATGAAATGAGTCAAGGTAAGCAGAGGATGGAGACTTGGATCAGAAAGGGTGCGACCCAGAGAGCATCTGTGAAGAGCCAGAGGCCGAGACAACTATTGCAGGAGTCGAATGAGCCCGTCAGGGTGGTGTCTACCCACAGTTACCCCCATGGAAATTTGGTCTTCATTTACAGGCCAGTTATTTGAGAATAGGTGAATGATCTTTTAGCCACAAATTGGGAGCTTGTTAAGAAAAAGCATATATATTCCTCTATTATTTTCCTCCTAATTTCCAAAGAACTGTCCATATTTCATCTCTCTCACTTGATTATCTAGATTCTTGAAATCTTGTGCTACATTTTCCCTCCCTGCCTAATTTTTTATATCATGTTACAGCTGTCTAAAGTCAGTAGCCTTGATATCGCCACACATGATTTAAAGGTGTGTGCCGGTGCATGGTGCATGCTTGGCTTATTACTCCTCTAAATACAGAGTCAATATGTTTACCTGCTGGGCACCCAGGAGCCCTAAATAACATCTGAGACTATAGCTGGGCTGAGTTCTTCTCTCCACAAAGATGCAATAACTGTCTCTGCTAAAGGAGACTATTCTAACTTCAGTGTTTTCAAATTTGCTTTTCCGCAGAATTTCCATTGCTGGCAGTTGCCTCATCATCGCAGTTCATGCAGAGCATGCACCGAGTATTCTGTTAGTGGGCAGAATGGTGCCCTCGGTCATGTGGAATGGCAGCAGAAGCCAGACAGCCGCTTCTGTGGGATTTTTACAATGCTTTTGTCTCTTGCCCATGGAAAGGCAGCGTAATGTGGTAGGACAAAGACTAGAGGCTAAGAAGTGGCCCCACAACCAAGTGCTTCACCTCATTGAGGCCTCAGTGGCATTCTATGTAATGACACTTGATAATTGCTTTTGGCACAGTTTGGATATCGTTTTCATACACTGGAAATTTTATAAGAAAAAGGCTGATCAGTGTGTAATTATGTACTTAGGGAATATGTATGTATATACACATACAAGTATGTATATAACAACAATTTAAAAAGAGGCCACAAATTTGAAAGAAAGCAAGGAGGGATGTATGAAAGGGTTTGGAGAGAGGGAGTGGAAGGGAGAAATGATGTGATTGCACTGTAATGTCAAAAACACATATTAAAGTCTTTTTTTAAAAAAAGGAAGCTATATTCCCAGAGGAGTAATGCATGTCTTACCCAGCCAGTTCTTCTGAGTGAGAGCAGTTATAAGAAGAGGAAGCCTGGCCCTGCAATCTCTTCTGCAAATGCTCCCAATGATGTGATTCTATTTACCTGGAGGGACTCTCAAGAGGACGAAAAGATAGGGCCACCTGATCTGGAGCGTCAACCTCCAAAACTGTGAGTTCAATATTTTCTTTATAAAGTACTCAACCTTAGGCATTTTGTTATATCAAATCAATAAATAAAAAGAAACTAAGAACTCAGACAGTTATCTCAGAAAAGCCCTACATTTACATCATCATAATGAGCTCTACTTCCCTAAACAGAGGGCTGGGGACTGGATCAATGGAAGAAGACCACAGAGAGGCTGAGCCCTGAGGAAAGACACAGTCTGTAAGGTGGGGGGTGATCCTGTAGCATCTACTAAGTGCAATTGGACTTTGCTTTAGCTCCAGGTTTGAGAAGTCGCACTATGGCTTGACACCACCAATGTAAAAGTACACATAGAATTTTCATTCTCTCTCTCTCTCTCTCTCTCTCTCTCTCTCTCTCTCTCTCTCTCTC